CTTATCCCGCTCCACAGCAACCGGTTGTCTAGCAGGCGTGTTGGCGTCATCACCCCATCCAGGCGGATCATCCCTTTGACATATCTCATCTCCTCTAGTATCATTTATCATTTCCCTGTATGACGACCTCCTTTATCCTTTCTTTTCCCTTACTTTATGAGATTGACGTGCGTCTAAATGCCTCGTTTAGCGCGCTGTCTTCAAAGTCTTCGGTTGCTACAACTGCTAAGGACTTCTAAAAGGGTCGCGCAATTTCAGTATAAACTTTTCTAGCAATTTTTACTTCCTGATAATAGCATGTCTTGGTTGCCGGTCATTCTGCTCGTCTCCTGCACGACCCCGACTAGGTTCTCTCCCCTAATTCAGGTGTCGACCTAAAAATTGAGGCGAAATTATTTCTTGTTCCACCTATTGAGCCTCCTTCTTCCAAATTATCGCCTTTTCCAGCTGCACATTTGGTCAGCTGGAAGTGTTGATGTGTGTTTAGATCCAAGGCTCTAACTAACCGAAAGTTGTTTGTGGTGTGTCAGGCAATGTTTGCCATTCCACCGTTGGCTAGTTTTTGATTCTCTCCCATCCCTACACTTAGAGGCGACAGTTTTGTTCGGCAGCGGTGATGTGAGCATGGGTTTTCCTTGAATGAATTGAAACATTGCCGACAAAGACTAGGCAGACTGGAATGGTCATTTTTGGCTTATTTACCGTCGCCTGCCATACTTAGCCCCTAGGTGTGGAACACCCTGGGCTCGATCCAGCAACCTATTGGTCAAAAGTTCAAAGAACCCCCAACCACACCTCGGGATCGATAACGGCTGGCCGATGTCGATTAACAGGCCAGAAACGGCCATTCCAGTCTCTCACGTCTTTGTCGGTAATTTATTCTCCCAACAGTGCACGCCGCACTGCAAGTGCTGGTTGAGCTCGAGAGAGAGAGAGAGCCCAAGGCACGACGGGACGAGTGTCTTACGTAACTCAACCGGTGAGCGCCCTCCTATCATCGCTTAAAGTGTGTTTCTTCTAAAAAAACCGTCTCACCCACCATCACAATCGGAGTCATGTTGAAAGAACACTTCTCTCCTCCAAGTAAGCAATCTTCGTGAGCACCATATAAGGCCAGTCGCCGTTTGGCCTGTGAGACGTAGGATTAAAAAGGTCAGGTAGTTTGCCGTGTTTGTTGTCTCTATTAAGCTCTTGTCAACTAAGTCAACCATTTTACAGATAATACGTTAGCGCACACTTTGTTCTCTGTGCGTAGAGTGCGTGACCGATCTCATTAAATGTTTGCCGAAATTCTGAATTGCGTTTTCATTTAAGAAGGATAACTTAGACAGGATCGTAACACTGATTATTATGTAGCATAATTCTACAATATTTCGCATTCGCCAGGATGTGGGCTCTCAAATGCACCTCTTTTCGACTTCCTGCAGAAAATGCACTTAGTAAAAAATGACTACGTAAGTAGCATGCATTTTTCATACTGATTCTCTAGAGAACATGCTCAAAATATGCTTTCCTTTACTCGTTTGGTAGAAAATTACACTTTCTTCGCATTTTATACCCGAAGTTGACTGCTCAAGCAGGATTTCCAAAGCAACTCACCTAGACTCCACCCGATGACTACCAGGCTTACGTAATTCATAGATGTTTTTGCAGATTTTGCATAATTAATATTGACCCAACTGTGAAAAACTCAGCGCCGAGTTTTTCACAGTTGGGTCAATATTAATTATTCAAAATCTGTCAAAACATCTATGACTTTCGCCACTGTCAAATCGTCTGAAGTGGAGCAACTTAAAGAATTGCTGAAATTTGTTGACCCGAATATCCAATTCACGATGGAAGCTGAAACAAATAACCAACATCCCTTCCTCAATGTCCTTGTGCGTTGGTGTGCACTGGGCAATTACAAACTACCGGTTTGAAAAAAGCCACCTACACAAGACAACTACTACCCCTCAACAGCAATCACTCCCTCTCTCACAAACTCAGCGGTTTCCGTACTCTATTCCAAGCAGTTGAAACACACTGCAGCACACCATCCGACAAGAGTTGAACGACAATACCTTCATGACCTCTTTCGAGCTGATGGATAACCAAGCTACTTCATTGAGCAATGCAAACGCCATGTGAACAGACGACGGCCACAAGAAGAACACCCCGAAGTCTGTAGGACTATTCCTTACATAAAAGGAGTCTCTGAGGCTGTTTCACGACTTTTACGACCCGCCAGAGTAGGCATTGGCCATCGATCCCGGGCAACAGTTCCTCGCCTTTTAACGGAACGCAAAGACATACTGCCACCCACTGGAACCTTAGCAGTTGTCTATTAAAGCCGTTGTAACGATGAAGACTGCAACTACGTTGGGGAGACGGGACGGAAATTGGAGACCCACCTACCTGAGCACAAACCGGCAACTCGGAGACTAGACCCAATTCCACAGCTTGCAACTCACATCAGAGAAACAGGCCACAATTTTGACTTTCAGTGAGCAGCCGCCCTAGTCCGGGGCACACCAAGGACAGAACGTCTTACACCTGAGGCTTGGTACTCAGATTCAAACTCTATCAACGGGCATCTGGACCTTCCTGTGGGCTATAAAGTCCTGCGTCGTTACATACGCCGTGATGCAGACAAGACAGTCATATGGAGCTTAAGAACACCGAGCAAACACGGCCTGCCGACCAGTTCACTCAAAACGGAGGCTCAATCGCAACTCAACCCAACTGAGGTGACAACACATCACACAGGAGGCCACCAACACTCACAAACGACGGTCAGTAGGCCAAAGCGGCGAAAGGAAAAAATCGGTCAACCCAAAGCCAACTAATTTGACTGTCTATTCAAAATTCGGATCGATTTTTGCACTAGACGCATTGATAATGGAGAGCCGTCCAAGCTCTTCGAAACGTCAGCCAAACAATCACCTCGATTCGGTGAGCACTTCTTTTTCCGCACAATAACACTGCCCAGCGCTCACTACTGACCAGTCAAAAATCTTTCTCATCTCCGAGCGATGTACAAAGGCACAGTGGTGTAATAGCGTTCAAGTCTCTCAGCGGAAGTGTAATATAAATGGCAAACCTAAACAGCGGACAGTGCTGACTGATCTCAGCAATGAAACCATCATAAAGTTAAAATCTTGGGAGAACTTATTCCAAAGAAGCTGGAAGCCCAGGAGGTTAGTGGAGTGATCGACAAAGGTTAATTTCTGAGGATCGCAGCATTCCTAGATTATGTGGACTACAGGAAATCACCGAAGCCTAGCATGCTATTCAGTTCCATCTCGTTGAGGAATACGGCCTAAAAAGCCAGTCTTGCTGAATACATAGCGATAGATGAGTGTACGTTTTCAGACAGGAGAACTGCCTGATTTCTACGCTCTTCTGCTGCTTTGCGAATGTGGACGACTTGGTCGTAAGGGTAGGATTATAGCAGTGTCTGAGGTAGACCGGTAAAGGGATGACTGAGATTGCGGCTGTTTCCCATTGCTAAGTCTCTCAGTCAGTTACGCGCGGTGCACGCTAGCACAGCGCAAACAATTTGTAGCGCGGGACAACATATCTCCTTCTCAGCCCAAAACACCTTGAGTGTCTGATCACCAATCAGTGTTTTGTGGGGGTAGCAGCGGGACGAGGCGATAGAGTGTTTGTCCGTGGGGAAGCATGCTCATTTCGAGCTGCCTAGCTCTCGAGACGAAGGAGAGGGCAAAAACAGGCGAAGACTGGTCACAGTCTGACCCTATTCTCATTCCTCCCATACTTTTATGCTGCAACGAAAGTAACCTCTGTGTGAGCTTGAAAAAAGACAAAATGTGCACATAACACCTTCTAATCATCTCTGGGAGTGCATCTGTACTCAATGAAATACATAGGTTCAGATGTAGCCTACTCCCTAGAGGCTTAAAAATTGTTAACTATATCCCACCCTTTTTTTGCCAAAACGAGCTTTCCATGGTGGTCCTGCTTTGGATAAACAAACCACATTAACTTTGGTTCGGGACACATATTTTGTCTCCGCCAAGTACTCCTTGTGGTGTTATGGTTGACTGAATATCTTCGCAGAAAAAAATACCTTTTCCATATACTATTGTTCCGTTATTTGGTGACTGCTTAATGATATAAAAACTGCTGAATCCGGTAGAGAGGCGCTCACCGACCGTTTTATTTCACAGAACTCACTTGCCATTATGCAACTGCTGGTTGAGCTCGAGAGAAAGCCCACGGCTCAACAGGCCGAGTGAGTTCGCTCATGACTCATGGCTCAGTGGTTAGGGGCGTTAGACTTCTAAAAAACAGGTTACAAGGCGAGTCCGAGTTATTCCACACTTCGGGGGTGGGTATGACTGGCTGAGGACTGCTAATAAGCCACAAATGACCATTCCAGTCCCCCTTGTCTTTGTGTTGGTAATGCTATGCTGCTGAATATGTTCGACAGCAAGGATGGTTGTTTTGAGCCAAAAAATAAAAATGTAAAACTAGGCAACCTTTAATAACCTTCCGAGTGTCAACTCCATTTCTAAGACGAAGCTAAAAACGATGGGGCAGTGAATCATTCGGCAGGCTGTAGACAAGCTTAGTCCGTTAATGACTCATTGTTCAGTAGGGTAGGACAGAAGGTAATAGTCTCAAAACTCGTGTAGTTTTTTGACATATAGCGTAACAAGACAAAAAAGTACATAAAAATGCAGTTCGATAATTTGACTTTTAAGAAAATACAGCATAGAAAAGGACTCTGCAACTACTTTATCTCTGGAGAAGCGGGAGTCCATTCAGGCGTTTCCGTATGATAGCAGGGCAGTTAAGGCATTACGTAGACTTGCAGGTACTCATCTGTATTGACAAGAATCTCCTAGGTAGTGCTTTTGTTGCCATCTCTCTCTCTCTCTGAGTTTTGAAGCTAAACGAATAGGTGCTACATTTTTCCGACATACTCACTTTCAGCTGTCAAAAGAGTCGCATACAGTACTCCGGCAAACATCTGTTCGGAGGGGCAGCTGCCGTCACCAGCAGCTGCTCTCCTCTGTCCGGATAGGAAGAAATGGACAGTAATAGGGCAGGGATCTTGGCCGTCTCGTCATCTCAACCACAGTGTCCTCAGAATCGTCCCCATAGCAGGTTGAGCAGGCTTCCACGTAGGTTTCGCTGTCGTCCTGACTGTCCACCGGAGTGAGCAGCAGGTGTCTGTAATCTTCCTCAGTGAACATAATAGAACCCTGGCGGACAGAATCGCCGTCCTGGGGCGATCCCTTTACACGTTTTCGGTGGTGAAATGGTCGTCCGTGTGATCGACTGTTGTGACTGAACATGTCCGTTTCATTGTCCGATGCATTAATGAAGGCGTCTCCTTCTTCGAGCCACTCCCCAGTGCTGCCAGTGTCCCCATAGTAGGCATAGGATGGCGGCTTTAGAGTACTTTGCCGGTGACCCGCGTAGGATGCGGTTTCTGCGTTCGAAACTTCCTCCACTTCGGACATTCTAATTGAGGGTTTGGGACCAGCACTCATACCCAGAGTCTGCTCATCATACCGCACGGTTGATACACTAAAGGCTTTATTTTTCGGCTCATACCTCGGCTCGTAGCTGTCCAGATTGCCAGAAGCTGCTGAATCACGTCCTTTGGGGGGTTTCTTCAGGACGGATGAGGCCGGTCTCTTCGAGCTTGACTTTACCGACGCCGCCTGTGATGGTGGACGCACTGATGGAACTGCTTCGGACGGAAAAGGACTGACTACTGATCCAGAGGAGGCATCCTTGTCAAAGTAGGCTCTAGCAGTCAGGAGGTCAGTCCTGTTGGAGATCAGCATCTGGTGACACTCATTTTTGCCCTTGTTATTGACAAACACTCGCAGTAGGTTCGGATGCTGCGCATCCGTTTTCACCTCCGTTACGTCCGAGAGACGAATAAGACGTTTCACATCCTGTTTGCCCTTCTTAGTCTTGGCGACCTCAACGTAGTGCGGATAGAAGGAGAGCAGGCGTTCGCCCTCCTTAGTGAGCTTACTGTAGTCATCCACCTTAACCACCTTTGGCTTGAAGGTGGTGGCTGCGGGAATTTGAAACCTGGGTATCGTTTGATTCATGCTTGGTGGCGGAGCAGGGAGCAGGTGCTGGCGCCTGTTTAGCGCTAAATGACTCCTCCTTTTGCTTCGAAACGCTGCACTGTTTGGGCGAGTCGACGTTGGCGACTGATGCTCAGCCTCGTATTGGCTGCCGCGGTCTCACCAACGAGCCTCGAAAGTCCTGCCTGGCTGCACCGCGCAGGATGGCGCTGAGTTCCAGTCTGTGTAGTGTGTGGCACGGCGAGTAACCTGTGCGAACATTTCAGTGCTCTTGGGGTGATCAGCGGCGGTGACGTTGGCGGCTTTGGTAAAAGAAAGTAAGAGCGAAAAAACAAACTTTCATAACGGGTCCTTATAGTGCGAGTCTCTTCATCAAACGCTCCTCATTTACGAAAAGCTGGGCATATATATTTATATATATATACAGTGCGTGACCTATCTTATGAAATGTTGGCTGAAATTCTGAAATACTTTTTCGATTAGGAAGGATAACGTGGTCGCGGTTGTGATAGTGATTATCCTAAAACATACTCTTATAACATTTTGGACTCGGCAGGATGTCGGCTTTAAAATGCATTTCTTTTCAATCTCCTGTAGAAAGCGTGCTCGGCAAAAATGACTACTTATGTAGCATGCATTTTTCCCATTGATTTTCGATGGTTTTGAAAATTCGAATATATCTTATAGAAACCGCAAACAAAAATGTGCTTTCTTTTAGTCACTCAATAAGAAATCACGTCTTCTTTATATTTTATACTTAAGGAGGGAATATAATTAGGTTTTAAAAAAGTTTTCTAATTGCCGAAAAATTTGGAGCCTGATCATTCGTTGCATTAGCGCTAAGTGATTACACTCTACAAGGTGCATGCATTCCGCGTAAAGAAAATCCCATATTTTTCTATGTCATTAAAGAGATATCATACAGGGTCCATAAATTTTGCAATGGATGCGGACCATGTTGTATATTTCATGAGGAGCAGTGGTAAACGGCCAGGTACGATACTATGTGAATGGACATATCACGGTCTTTAAAAGTCTCATAATTAGAAACTTTTTTAGAACCTAATTATATTCCTTCGATAAGTATAAAATATAAATAAGACGTGATTCCCTATTGAGTGACTAAAAGAAAGCACATTTTTGTTTGCGGTTTCTATAAGATATATTCGAATTTTCAAAACCATCGAAAATCAATGGGAAAAATGCATGCTACATAAGTAGTCATTTTTGCCGAGCACGCTTTCTACAGGAGATTGAAAAGAAATGCATTTTAAAGCCGACATCCTGCCGAGTCCAAAATGTTATAAGAGTATGTTTTAGGATAATCACTATCACAACCGCGACCAACTAATCCTTCCTAATCGAAAAAGCATTTCAGAATTTCAGCCAACATTTCATGAGATAGGTCACGCATTGTATATATATATATATATATATATATATTATGATAGTGGGCGCTCACCGATCAGGTTACGGAACATGCTCGTTCCGTTGTGCCTTGGGGCTCATACTTAAACCCTCGCAGGCAGTCGCAACAGCGACTAGTGATATATGTTGGAAAGGTAATACCGACAAAGACAAGGGAGACCGGAATGGCCACTTCTGGCTTATTAGCCGTCATCAGCCAGTCATACCCAACCCCAAGTGTGGATCACTTGAGATTCGAACCCGGGATCTTTGGTCATGGAGTTGAACGCTCTACCATTGAGCCACGGGCCCGTTGTCCTGTCGGTTGTGATCGGGAATATTAATTATGATAGTGGGCGCTCACCGATCAGGTTACGGAACATGCTCGTTCCGTTGTGCCTTGGGGCTCATACTTAAACCCTCGCAGGCAGTCGCACAGCGACTAGTAGTAGACATAGATGAGATGATACCGACAAAGACAAGGGAGACCGGAATGGCCATTTCTGGCTTATTAGCCGTCATCAGCCAGTCATACCCAACCCCAAGTGTGGATCACTTGAGATTCGAACCCGGGATCTTTGGTCA